AATTCACTTCACTTTATTCATATTATCATTGCATCCAAACAACAGTATTTTCCATAGCTTTCTAGAGCCAATTTGTGAAGTTTGAGTTGTTCTTGAGCGTATATAGTTTACTCAACATCTACTCTTAAAGAGAGTCTTGTTCTTGAGTGTTCTTAGTGTTGTAAACACGTTTAGGGAAGCTTGTTTCCCTTGGTTGTACGAAGGAAAGGTATTTTCCTTCGGGTTGAAGTCTTGGAGTGCGGTATCTCCGAGCAAGTGTATTGAGGCTCGTGGGACTCGAGTTCTCAGGTTGTAACGGTTTGTTAAGCACACGTAAGCTTAACGGAAGTAGTGTAGCTCGAGAGAGTCTCTCGGGAGGCTGGATTAGCCACAAGTTAGTGTGAACCAGGGTAAATCTTGGTGTGCTCCCTTTACTCTTTTTTATTCCGCTCTTTACTTTATCCCTGCGATTTTTATTTCGCAAAAATTTATAAACATTCTCGTGCCTCACTATTCACCCCCCCTCTAGTGAAGGGCACTTATTCTAACAATTGGTATCGGAGCCTAACTCGCGTCTAAACTTAACCGTTTGAGAGTAAAGCGATCATGGGTTCTTCTTCGAGAAATCTTTATGCAGGGATTGGAGAAGGTCAATCAACTACACGGCCACCTCTTTCTGATGGAACCAATTATACATATTGGAAAGAACGAATGAGAATCTATATTCGTTCCACGAACTTCCAATTATGGTTGGTTATCAAAAACGGGGAAGAGGTGCCGATGAAGAAAGTCGAAGACAAGTTGATCCCCAAGACCGAAGACGAGTTTGATGCCGAGGACATCAAAAAGGTCGAGAATTATGCAAAGGCAATAAACATGCTTTATTGTGCCGTAAATCCTGACGACTACCGCAAGATCTCCTGCTGCTCAACCGCCAAGGAGATGTGGGATAAACTTGAGGTGACGTACGAAGGAACGGACCAAGTACGTGAAGCCAAGATTGACTTCCTCACCCAAGAATATGAGATGTTCAGGTTGAAGGAGCACGAGAAGTTTGACGACATGTTCAACCGATTTTCCAAGATAGTCAACGATCTTCATGCATTGAAGAGGACTTACACCGACAGGGATCTTGTACGAAAGATCCTACGGAGCTTGACATCCGAATGGCGATCTAAGGCCGATGCCATCTATGAGTCAATCGGCACATCAAATGTCACCATCGACGGTTTAAGAGGTAACTTAAAAACTTATGAATCTACTATACTTAACCCGTCTTTGAATGACCAAAGGAAAGGCATAGCATTAAAAGCCTTCAAAGAACCAACGATGAATGACTCAAGCGACGATGATGAAGTCAAGCTTGTCATGAAGAGGTTTTGCAAACTTCTAAGAAAGAAAGAAAAGGTTGAGGATGGCCCTGTGTGCTATGGATGTGGTGAAGCCGGGCACATCAAGAACAAATGCCCGAGAAACGGAAGGAACACTCGACACTTCAAAAGGCAAAGGGCGTATATCTCTTGGGGTGGAGACTCCGGCGACGAGTCAACCGACCAAGATGAGGATGAAGTTGCCAACCTCTGTCTCATGGCACACGAAGACCAAACCGACGATGTACAAGAGGTATGTACCATTTCTTCCGACTCTTACACTTTTGAAGAAATGCAAGAAGCACTTCACGAACTTTATGATGAATTTGTTAGCGCTTCTAAACT